AGTTTCATCAAATTTCACTCAGTGGTATAAGAGAAGTTGAGGATAAGAGATGGGTACCCCAAAGCGTAACAGACAGACGGACGGACGGACATACCGATTACAGTATACTCTCCCACTTTTCAAGCGGGGTATAAAATGAGCATGAATGATCGAAAGAGCGATAGATGCATTTCAAATATTACTTATTTGAGACATGTATTTCATTGAGCAAGTAATTAGTGCAAGGACGTAGCATCTTTTTTTAAAAAAGGGCAGTCAGAGAAAAAAAAACGACTTTATCTTTCATTACCAAATTTTTACTACTAGTATACTGCAAGAAAGAAAAAGAGGAGGAACAGCCTAGCTTTCAAAGAGCATTTTCAAAGGTAAAAAGTTATATTTGGAAAAAATACGGAGGGGCCAGATCCCTCTGTCCCCTTCCACTACCCTCTGATGCTACGTGCCTACAGTGTTAGTAGAAAAAATATAATTTTGAAAAAAAAAATAGTTATGCAAGATGGGCGAACAAGGCGAGCAAAATGCCTTTTTTGCGACAAATATAAAAGTGATGAAATTAAATCTCAATTATAACATTCATTTTTTCTTTGATACTTCATTTTAAAACATTACCGTCACAGTTCTACCTATCTCAAAACGACATAGATTTGCCATAAAAAAAATCTGATTTTCCGCAAAAATAATACTGCTTTTCTGCGATTATATGTATAGTTTTTGCTTTTCGTGGATTTATATTTTAACATATTCCTCTGTGGTTAGCCAAGTAAAATACATGTATATTGCTCATGCTTAGTACGACCAATTATAAACATTGGTCATAAGCTCTTGCTTTTAATTTTGAATAATTTAGAAACAAGCTATAAGTTCTTTTAACTCAGACACGTAGCAAGAGAAGGCGGGGGGGGGGGGGGGGGGGGGGGGGGCTCCCCACTTTTTTGTCCAATATTACTTACATTAATGTAGTATTGTAGGTAAAAAAAATTGGTACTAAAGGCATTGGAAAAAGTTACCCTTTACACCCCCCCCCGAAATAGGATTTTCGACTTTGAGCAACTCTCTTTCTGTTTTTTTTTTTTGCTTGTCAACTTTTTTCAGGTAAGTAATTTTTTTTCTCTGGCTGCCCCCTTTCAAAAACGTTGCTACGTGGCTGTAACTGTTCTGTAAAGACCACAGGCATTGAGGTGTTGAAAAAAAAAATTTTTTTTACACACAATTTTTTTTTCAAGCGATCCAAAAGCCTGTGGTAAAGACCAACATGCGTAACAGACGTAACGCCACTTGTATCGTTTGTAATTGTGGCTTTGAATATTTGACCTATTTTGCATCAGTAAGCCACTACGCCATTCTTTAAAACATTGACCTTTCTTTATGTATTAAAGGAAAGCCCATTGGGCTCATTTTCGTAGTTTAGAAAAATAATTTTTTTGCGTTATAACACAAAACTATAACGCGAAAGTTTTGCGATATAACGCATAACTTTCGCGTAATAATGGGTAACTTTCGCGTTATAAACTTTTGCGTTATAACGCGAAACTTTCGCGTAATAAAGCGTAACTTTCCCGTTACAACGCGAAACTTTCGCGAATAAACGCGAAACTTTCTCTTGTTAACTTTCGCGTTATAACGCTTAACTTTCGAGAATAAACGCGAAACTTTCGCGTTATTTCGCGAAATTATATGCATGTAGTAATGTTTTTCAGGAACCTTGATCTTCACTGACAGATAAGAACATGAACGCTGACATGATCTTTCATGAATTTATTAATAATTATCATTTCGTCAGAAGATGTCCTGGAGAAATGATGCGAGAATGGTTAGATTAGTCCTGGACATCAAGCAGTCAAATAGTTTGCATGACTGTAATCAGCATTGAGTCCTTTACCAAATTTGTGAAATTCATGGCCCTGGGGTCAGGGGTTCTAGTGCTAGGGCTGGGCTAAATAGATTGTATTGTGAAAATGCATTATTTCTTTGAAAATCTTCTCCGTTCCTGGGCATTGAATAAACTACATGTAAATAAGTACATATTATGTTGAATAAGGCTGCCTCTTCCAAAATTGTGAAATTCATGGCCCCTGGGTCAGAGGTTCTTAGGTGCTAGGGTGAGGCTATATGGATTATATAGTGAAAATGCATTACTTCTTTGAAAATCTTCTTCTTTGTTCCTGAGTATTTAATAAACAAACCGAATACATAGTTATGTTGAATAAAGCTGCCTCTTCCAAAATTGTGAATTTCATGGCCCTGGGGTCAGGGGTTCTGGTGTTAAGTCGGGGCTATATATATCATATAGTAAAAGTGCATTAATACTTTGAAAATCTTCTCCTCTGCTCGTGGGTATTAAACAAACTAACCACGTACATAGTTATAATGAGCAAGAACAGTTACTGCTCTTCCAAAATTGTGAATTTCATGGCCCCTAGGTTGGGGGTTCTGGTGTTAGGGTGGGGCTCTATTGATCGTAAAGTGAAAAAACATTGATTCTTTAAACATCTTCTTCTCTGCTTTTGAGTATTAAATAAACTAAACAAGTACATTGCTATGTTGAATAAGAGTGTCTCTTCCAAAATTGTGAATTTGATGGCCCCAGGGTCAGGGGTTCTGGTGTTACGGCGGGGCTCTATTGATTATATAGTAAAATACATCAATTCTTTAAAAATCTTCTTCTTTGCTCCTGAGTATAAACCAATGAACTATGTACATAGTTATGATGAGGAAGGATGCCTCTTCTAAATTCATGAATTTCAGGGCACCAGGGTCAGGAGTTTTGGTGATAAGGCAGTGCTATAATAATTAGATAGACAGTGGAAATACATCAATTCTTCGAAAACATTTTCCTTTGCTCCTGGGTATTAATTATGCTAATGTTCTAAGTACATATTAATGATGAGGATAGACGCCTCTTCCAAAATGGTTAATTTCAGGGTCCCAAGGTCAGGATACTTGGGGTGGGGGTTACATTGTCTGTAAATAAATCAATGCTTTGATATCTGCTTTTTTGGTATTAATCAACCATGTATGATGAAATAAAATTTGTGATAAAATTTCCAGAATTTTGAAATATGTGCCCCCAGGTTCAGTTGTTCCTGTGGGATGAGGTGCACAACTGGATCTAAGGTGGAAATGCATTTTCTCTTTGTTACTCTTATTTACCTCTGGGTATTAAGTAACCAAAGGAAGCAAGGTAAGTGTATAGTTTTGATAAGCCATAGTGCCTCTTTCAAAATTGTGAATTTCACGGCCTTTGTTTTAAAACACAAACCAATTCAATTGTTGGAAAGTTGTTACATGATACTCAGGTGACCTATAAGGCCCATGGGCCTCTTGTTTAATTACAATTTTGATATTTTACGTAAAACATCAAAATGGTAAAAAAAATCCGGAAAATCTTATATTTCGGACTAGAGAAGCCTTTGAACTTTGCAATTAAATTCTACATGACAACTCCCTATGGACTGAAGATCAAGCCTATTGATTTTGAAGTCAAAATATTTATTAGATGCTAAACCACACAATCTTTATTTATTATTATTATTTTTTTTTGTAAAATTTTGACAATGTAGAGCGTGGTGTAAAGATGTATACGGTATGTATGTAACCTACTGTTTGCATTTAATTCCGCCTTAAATCATGTTCGTCGATGGTTGATCAAGAGATTCTTGCTTATTATGTATGTATCATTTAAAGCAGAATTAAAAATATACTTATTGTATTATTGATGTTTATTGTCATACATACATTTCATTGATGGAACAGACACTGATCAAGAAATCTGTATAGGTGATATGCCGGTATGCCTTGTGTTGTTCATGAACTGATAAATGGCAATGGTTTTCTTCAGAAATACAGGAGAAAATAGATCTATTCAGTGTGTAAATATAAGTGTATGAAATAAAGACAAGACATAATTTCTATTCACAATACATGTACTTGTTCTTAAGATAAGTAACATGTCTGCATGTTATTAGTACGAACAATTTCTGAAACAAGAGAAGCTATATACAAACAAGTTGATGAAACAAAGATATCAATGCGTTGATTTTGACGTCAAAATCATGAATGGATGTAAGTTGAATGCTGATTGACGCTTTTAATACAAATTGTTTTTGACTTTTTTTCCATATTAAATTGTCTGTCAATTTTTACTTTCACTTGATCATGACAAGGAGCAAACGGCGGGTGTGACTCGTCGGCAGAGTATGCCTACTCCTTTATGGTACCTCATCCCACCTCTAATTAAGGTCCAGGATGGCTCTGTATGTTCCCGATTTGAATCGTTTCACGGGACTTTTGATCTTGATCACTGTTCTTTATCTCCATATTTCATCACAATGATTCGATTAAATGGTGTCTTCTAGCTATTCCCACTTTTTAAAAATCTCAATTCCACCTATTCCCACTTGCAAATAACAATAGATGTTTAGATTTACCTGTATTTTGTACATTTCAAAACAGAAAATAATGAATACATCTATATATGATTTATTTCGGATTTTTGAAATAATAAAAAGATCTTACAAAAAAAAGCAACTTAATACCTAAATTTAAGAACATAGTCAATTATTTGTTTACACAAAATTCCACCTATTCCCACATAAAATCTTACCTTTTTCTACATGATTTTCAAAAAGTGGGAATAGGTAGAATAAACCGATTAAATATGCCAAAATGATATATATAAGGACGCTTATAAGTTAAAACATCACGTATACTGAAATTTAATAAAAATAAAATCAGAAGAACATTACATTTTAGAGAAATATATTGTCATAACTTATGATAATTTTAATCTTAAAAAGTGTAACTGTCCATAGACTCTTACATAGAGTAAATGTATATTATAATATTTTATGCTTTAAAAATAGGCAATATGTAAAAAAGGAAGTTGTTTGTAGTATGTGGTAGATATAACTTAAAATGTTAATAGGCCTAATTACATTTTACAAAATTGTACATGATATTGTCATCTTAATAATTTTTATTTCAAGAATAAAGAAAAAAATATAAATTTAGATTTATACTTCAAACATTCACCAGAAAATGCACAAGCATTACTATTGGCGGATGTCATTATTGAAATCAATATTGTTAATTTTGAAATTTCTTAAGTTAAAATAATAATCATTTACAATGGCAGTATAGACGGTATTGCTCAGTCAATGGTCCGATCGGAACACATCTAGACTGATTACCGTAAGTATTCACTCTTTCTATATCTCCTATAATTTTCATACTTTCTACACTTTGTGAAAAGGTCTTGACTGTTGCTTGGAATATTGCACGTCCCGGAATGGTCTCAAAAATAACAATCAGTTGAACTTCGTCCGTGGAATATTTTTTCTGTGGAATTCTCTGAACTTTGGCAGAATGAATTGAATGTAGCCTCAAATTTGTGCATGGTAATTTAGAGTTGACTAATTTTAAATTTATATGAATTACTGCAAATCCTGCCGATTTCTGTACGATTGGGCTGTGGACATCTAAGGGTGCTGAAGAATAACAGGGACAATAGTTTTCTGATAATGAAGCGTCGTAACAGCTTCTAAATTTAGGTATTTCCTTGAAAAGACTGATTCCTCTTGGCAATGCAGATGACGGTGGAAAGGTCTCCCTCTTGAAGTTTTGTAATAGGACATCCTTGAACGTCTCGTGAAGGTCAAAAGGAGTTGTCAGACGCATTTTATTTGTGAATAAATTTTTGTGAATACGTGGATATTTTTGTTTTAGACTTGGCGGAATATAAATGGTTAATAAGGGTAGATTTCTTGTGATTCTTCCAAGTTCGTGTCTTGCAATGGGTCCATAACGTGGCCCGTGGTCACTAAAGAGTACCAGAACAGAATTTTCCAGATGACCATTGTCTCTCATCCATGCTATCAGGTCAGCTGTGTCCTCGTCCGCTAGGGAGAGGAAATTCGGCTGATGATGACTTATTTCATTTTGCCAAAAGTAGACAAACTTTCTTGCTTGTTTATATTGCTCAATACACTTCTTACTGTAATCTAAAACAATCTTATGCTGTAATTGATTACCGAAACATTTTGGGTCAATCCTATTTTGAAGATCTTTGTATGAACTGCTCTTTTTCAAAATGTCCAGATGCGGAATCTCTCTTGCGAGAAAGAGTGTTCTAAGATAGTGAGTATAATTTGGATAAGACACTATCAAAGGCGGGTAATAAGAGGTCCAATCTTCGGCATGACAGTCAATGTAACCACGCTTCAGTACTTCGGAGTATAAAGTACTGTCTGACCGGGAAAATAGAGCTTCTGGGGTAGTTTTCCCTGTCAAGGCAGCCAGTAGATTTGGAAAAGTGTTTTCGCCCACCCGGGCATATCCTTCAAATCTATATGCTTTTAAGTCTTTTTCCAATACATGTAAAGTTTTCTTTAATTTCTTTTCAGCGAGATAACGTGACACAGAATCGAAACCAAAAATAAATAAATTAGGCTGTTCTGATGATTCTGGCATCAAATGTCTTTTATTTACCTTTGGATTTACATTGTATAGGAAGTTAGCATAAACAGTGGTACCATTGATATTGCACGACACGTGAATAAAGTCGAGGTCTATTTGCACTGGGAATGATGAAATTTTGAACTCGTAAAAGCGAGCCTCGTTGATTCCATATAAGTATACGATAGAATATTTACATTGCAGATAATTTTGATCTTGTGATGACCACGGAGCAGCAGATTTGTTGAAGTGAAGGAAGCCGGATGAATTGAGGTAAACCAGTTCTGACCAGGAGTGACACTTAACATTTCCGGGAACCCAGAAATACTTTCTGATTGATGTGTCGTCCAATGGCCGTTGTATTTGACACTGTTCTGCATAATATCCATCTGATATCACATGGTTATAACCAACATAAACCAAACATAACACCAACAGGAAAATCAACGTTCTTCTCAGCAAAAGTTTAAAACCTCTTCTGCAAACGTTGCGCATAATACAGAACTAATTGGAGGACAGCACACTGTTTTGTTATTGTTTTTATTCCCATGTGAAGTATCGCATTTCAGCTCCTGTAAAATAAACTTTTATTAAAAAATAATGTAGCTTGACAATGTTTAAATTTTAAAATGAAAGTATAAAAAATCGAAGTCTGGAACGATAGTTAACAAACCTTAGCGTTAATCATGTTACGGTTACATGGAATCGTAATTTTCCCCCTCCTTTTACGTATAAAATATTTCAATCCCCTGTCAAATAGAGTAAATTTTACTAGATAATTACCCTGCTTTCTTTTCCAACTTAAGTATTTAAACGCGCTTTATCGATGTTTCATCAAAGAGATATAAACAGAATATAGCGACGTTCAAATTCTGACATGGCAAACGTTTCCTCTGTGATAAAGAGTCACCCGATAAAAATTTTCAATCTGCACTCAAGGAAAGGAAGATTACGAAATAAAAATGGATATCATTAGAGTGTACTCGGTAGCAAGAGCCTCTGCTTGGTAGAGCATATAAGTCCCGGTATGAACTTGTAAGACGTTCTACCAGGATATGGAAAATAATGTCATCCCAGATCGGAAATTGTTACATCTCGGATGTGATTTGTGATTTGAACGTACAGGCGCGGATCCAGAATTTTTTTCCAGAGGGGTCCACCCCAGTCAGAAAAAAAAATCCATTCCCAGAAATTTCTTGACAAGCAAAAAAAAACCAAAAACAAAAAAAAACATAAACTCGCCCAAACGTCAAAAACCTATTTCGTGGGGGTGGGGGGTGGGGGGGGGGGTAGTTGTGACTTCTATTGGCGCAAATCTTTCACGTTTCATACCCATTTCACAAATATTCGGGGGGGGGGGTCCATGGTAACTTTTTTCTTGTTTTAGGGGGGGGGGGGTAGTGGCATGATATATATTATACAATTATTGCTGTTTTTTGAGGTTACTATTGCCTCAAATCTTTCACTTTTCATACCCATTTCACAAATATTCTTGTTTGCGTTTACCAAATACAGGAGAGGGGGGGGGGGTCCATGGTATACTTTTTTCTTGTTTTAGTACATACATTTTTTAACCTGGCATCCCCTCTTACCACCCTCACCCTAAAATATAAATTCGCTTATGTTTTGTTCACATGAAAAAAAAATCATAGTCGTTTAAATAGCTTTCCAAAACAATTTGTATCAATTTGGAATTTCCGAATCTATTTTTAGATCAATGTTGAGGAAATAAATCCCCTGGAACCCCCCCTAGATCCGTGCAGAGAGATGACATATAAAATGTATTATTTTATTATGTAATATTATGCATAAACGGATTGGGCACCAGACATAGCTTGTATGAAACCTCTCCACTGGTTAACATGTTGCAGTTATGGTGATTTGAATATGGACTTGCATGTACCAAGATGATTCCCATTAATTTAATATTTTAAAAAAAATTACCTTGTAACAGGACTCTCCGTTCTGTTCACATCAGCCCCCGAGGTTATAAAACTTTTTGGAGTTCAAATTCGTACTCAAACTCAGACTCTGTACTTCAAGGTCAAATTCGTACTCCAACGTTGAGGTTATCAAAATTTATTGAACTCCAACTCCAACAGAGTACAAACTCAAGATTTTTAACCTCAGAGTCAATCATAGATGTCGTTCACTCTATCTACCGGATCGCATGATCCGTTTCGCAGGGTCCGGATAGATAGATGTCTTGGAGACAGACAACACTGCTGAATTTAAATTTAAAATTACAAAACTCTAAATAATTCAATAACTAATATGAACATTATTTAAAGTACCTCATGAATAATTGTGTTTGTTACTTCAAATTGCACTTGGATTTGCCGCTATAAAACTTGGAGAATCCTTTTAACATTTACCTGAGAATTACACAGAGGATTCCTAAACGGCGCTTGTTATCTTCTTTGATAAAAAAAAATAGTAGTATATTATATATCTTAATAATTTATGTGCAAAATTATGCATCTTAATATCTTAAATTGTGCAAATTATCTATCGATCCAACATTGTAGGAAGAGAGAGGATTTTTTAAAGTAACTATTCAGATTATTTCATTTTAATTACCATGTAAACAACATTTAGAATACCGTTTGCTTACCAAAAAAGACAGACTGGCGACAAATTCTTTAGCTTACCAGTTTTGTTTTGAACATATTTTATTGGTAACCAAAAGGGCAAGAAAAAAGTTCTAACAACTTACTAGTTCTTCTCCTTAAAAACACATAGTGATTCTCATGCAAAATAATAGCAAAAACATATACAAATAAGTCAATAATATATCTAGCTAAATCTACAAGATTTATTTATGAATTTATGAACAGCGGCAAAAATACCAATTTTTAATTCAAATGAAAGGTTTTCGTTGTACCAGAGCAGTAGGTGTACATCTATGATGTCTAAATTAAGTCGGAAAAGATGGCCAAAAAGATTTAATACTTCGAGCATTAAGATACCTATTTTTGCCAACAAAGAAAAAAATGATAGGCATCTTCTTGTTTACCACAAGAGCAATAAGGATTATCATATGAATAGGTCTTTGTTCAATACACAGTTGTGCCTTAATTTAGTATGAATAATGTTAGTAATTCGTTTACCAAATAAAAAATAAGAAGGTGCTTTTGGATTATTATCATAGTCTTAACAAAAGAATTGCATAGTCTTAACAAAAGAATTGACTGAACTAGCTTCTCTTGTATCTGTTTCAATAAATTCCATATTTAACAGCATCAGGAACAAATGATTTGTTACATATTTCTAACCTGCCTCTTGGGATAGTTAATTGATCTTTTATTTCGTGTATTGTATCTTGATGTGTGTTCTTGTTTCTTTAGGACTATATCTCGTATATATTCCGGTAAATCATAGTTATTAATTTTGAACATTGCAATCATTTTTGCTTGCCAACGACGCTTTTTCAACGGTACAATGTAGCCATCTTGTTTCTAAATAGAGCGATTCTCTTGAAGCTAGTATCTGAAGATCAGTAACTATCCTAGCGGCCATTAATTATACTTTTTCAAGTTTTTCTTCATCAGATAAGGAGCAACCATCCCAGACAATAGAAGCATATTCAAGTGTAGGTCTTACAAATGTTGTATACAGTAGAGGTTTTCCCTACCGATTGAAAATTTCAATTTCTTCAATAGCCCCAATTTCCTATATGCATTATTAACAATACTATCTATATACTCAGACCAGCTAAGATTTTGTGACAACAAGATACCCATATGGCGATGCGCCGATACAAATTCCAGTGTATTGTCTTGAAAATACAAGTTAGGTCAAACAGATCTATTTTTAAAGACAAAAATACCTTTTTTGGATTAAAAAATCTTAAAGGCCATTTACTTTACCATTTATCTAAAACATCACTATCATGGTATAACCTGTATTCTATATCTAGTAAATTATATGATGCATGTTGCAGTGAATTGTCATCAGGAAACAAGTAACAGCTTTTCAAAAAGCTTGCCTGACTAATGCAATCAATATCTATAGAACCTATAAGCATGATAATTTATAAACGTTTACATTGGGGTGTGTTAAATTATTTCAACAGAGTAAATTATGAAGATGTTGCACAAAACATCATGTATTCATTTCAAGTCAATTGTATGATACTCATCAATGCAATGAAAAAAGAACATATTTTACATAAAACGTATATATTGTTTGTATCTCAAATAAAAAATGAAAGCATGTACATGTCCCGCTGTTGATTCGAACCCGCGACGTAAAAATGAGAACCTCACTCAGCGAGTCTAAAAATGCTTTTAGAGGATGAAATAAATAAGGGAAAAAACTAATGTAATTGATTAATGCTGAAAAGCATGGCTGTATGTAAAGGTTACATAAATTAGATTCAACTGCATACAGCATAGGCTTTGAGGAAGACAGCTGAAAATATGATAACTACAGGAATCGTAACAGTTATGACTGACATAAAGAATGTGTTTAATAATAGTTTCCTGGGTATGCCAGAGCATTAATGATTGTTGGAAACGTGGAATAAAGAAAGTTCTATATGCTTAAATGACCCAACAAACTTGACGGCGATAAATGAATGGCGACATGCGCGGATTCAGGAAGTTTTTCTCAGGGATAAGGGGTCCACATTAAAAAATATTTGTACGAACAAAAAAGTAATAAACTTTCTCAGTGCTGAAATGTGAGAGGACACTTTCATAGGTCTATACTGCTTTTTTTAGGAGGAAACCCCCTGGAGGGGGGGGGGTATGATCAAATGTATATTTGGCCATTACTTCCTCTTGAGAGAATTTTGTTCGTTTCGTTTTTATTACTTTAAATGATGTAACTTCTAACTCACTTCACAATCACCGATATGTTTTTTTTTTCCAAAGATCGACCAGGATTCCGACAAAAAAGAACATACTTTATATAATTCATGAAGTTTTCATTTCCATTTAATAGAATAGTCCAGGAAAAGGGCGCAAAAACTTTCACGTGACATTTTGGCGCGAAATGATTGTGACACCCCTTACCAGGAAGACAAATGGACTAATCCAGTAGTATAGAAACACAGAAAAAAGGTCAAACGGACATGTCCGTATAAGAAATCGCATGGAATAAAAAGCTGCTAGCAAAAAGCTAAAGGAAATAAATACATCAATGTATTATATCAGCAATATGGTTATTTTTCTGCTAACTGTTGTTGCTGAAACGCATGTAACAAAATCCGATGATAATCAGCATGCACAAAATTTTGCTGGCTAACTGTGACCTCTTAGCTTCGCACCTAGGAAATATTGATCCTTAGTAGTGCCTGACGCCGTGACGTCAGGCAATAATCTACACATTGAAAGCCTATTTTCAGTAACATCCTTGATATAATATATCAGAAATAAAAGAGGACCTAGAACTGAGCCTTGAGGCACACCTGCATATATGTTGAGGTTGGATGATAGTAGATCTTTATACACAACTTTTTGTGATCTATTTCTCAAGTAACTTGTAAACCACAGTAAGAGATCACCAGATATTCCATACGTTTGTAATTTGAAAACAAGACCCTTGAGCCATACACATGATACTCTGTCGAATGCTTGAGAAAGATCGCAAATAATCATACAACACGATTTGCCTTCATCTATACTTTGTGCAATACTATGACAAGTTTCTAGAAGTTGGTACACTGTACGAGGGCTGTTCAATAAATAATGTCCTCTGTGCTCGGAAAAGAGCAAAAGACGCTTTTCAATGATTTAGTCTTAATGATTTAACATAGTATTCTCTTTTAATTAAAATTCATGTCCGTAAAATTTTTAATCCAATTTCTGATTGTTTTTAGAACTCATTTTTGTGTATGACCCTTAGTATACTGGAAAATGGCAGATCTTATGATTTCCTGGACTCGTTTCTTCCTTCTGAAAGGTGTTTTTCCAAGTTTGGAAAATGAAACAAATCAAAAGGCGAAAGATTGGCGAATATTGTAAATGTGGAAAAAAAATAACTTTCTGTTTATCCCCAAAACTCCTTTACTCTTCAGGGCGTGCGGGTTTGGACGCTGTCATGAAGAAATTTAATGTAGTAGATTCCTGATTCTGGTTTCTTCCTCTCATTAACCTTTCGATTTTTTTGCCAAAAAATTGCTTTTTAGACTCTTCCAGAAATTAAACTGCCTCCCCGAAGACGAACTTGATCAACAAGACCACTAATATTCAAGAAAATTGCATATAAATCTGTCTTTGTGCTCTTACAATTCTTTGCTCTTCTCAGATCTTTGCTGTTTCCGTCAAGTACAACTTGTTGTAAATTTTGTTGCAAAGATTTTAAGCATTAGATTCAAGTTTCATTATCTGTTTGAATTTCAAACAAACGTGAATAACTACAATTACTGATATTTTAGAATAGTTGTTTAGGTATTCTTACACACTGTCGTTTTCACTCATTTTTAAAACATAGGGTGACCTTTCTGTACTAAGCTTTTTTTGCTGTCAAACGTTTCTTTAAAACAGTGTGAACTACTTCCGAAATGATGTCTATCAAATTTGCTATGTGTCTTATAGTCAACCATACATCATCAGTGATTATTTGTTGAAATTTGGCAAACAGTACATTAGTTGTTATAATTTTTTGGTAGCAAGGACGGTACCCATTTTTTATGCCCATTATATATTTTTTTATCATTGAAATCCTCCTGATCATGTGTCTATTGAACAGACATTGGCTGTCGTAATTTTTTTCATATTTCAGTGGATATTTCTTTGGGATTCTTAACGAGATTTACAGCAGCTTTCATGAAGCGTTTAATTTCACTCTAGTTTACTGATTCTTTACCATTCATTTTTAATGCAGTGTCTCGAATAGCCCTTGTTTTCCAGCTTCACACACTGAAACTATGTGATGAAAAGTAGTCACATAAGTTGTTATAAATTCATTAAAGATTCAATAATGCGAAAAAGTCAAGCTTAATGGCATATGATATCCCTATTGTATGTCATACAGTTCAGGACATCATTTATTGAACAGCCCTCGTAGAGTGACAAGGTAAAACCCCCGCATGATATCGATAAAATAAATTGTTAAAATGAAAATTATTGTACACATGTTTGAAAATAATTCTCACCATAATTTTGCTAACACAGCTGAACAACTACACAGGCCTATAGTTTGACACTAAAGAAGGATCATCCTTTTTAAAAGAGGGGTAATCCATGAGCTACTCTCCACATGGCCGGGAATACATTCTCCGACATATTTATTTAATAACATAGCTAATGGTTTTGAAACGGTAGAAACAGTATTTTTAAGCATTTTGTGGCTGATGCAGCCTACCAGTGCAACATCGATTACCAGAGTTAACAAAAGCCACTTGAACGAAAACGCTCATCGTTTACGTTTACCTTGCCGAGTTGATTTGCAAAGATGCTTCGGTTATGGTGAAGTTTAAAACCAGAAAACTCTGCTCTACTGGTTTGTACTAATTAATAAAGGCAGAGAAAAGTAGCAGTTGGGACATAAAACTTTCAAAAAGCAATATTTATAAATAGAATAATGATCCTTGATTAAGTCTCTTTTTGTGGCAAGACTGCAATAAGACTACACGGTAGGAGGAGCTTTTAATAAAATTTTACAGAATTTTCAATTTTCAGAATTATGTATCTTAGTGTAGTCTACTTGTGTGCCCAGTTATATTGAAATCAGACCGAAATGGTAGGAGGAGTAGCATTTTGAAAGTGTTGCCGTGTTTACTAAAAATAGAAATTTCTGTGAAATTTTGTTCATCGAAATCAAAAACCGATACATAGAATTATGTATCTTAGTGTAGTCTACTAGTGTGCCAAGTTATATTGAAATCAGACAAATTCTGTAGGAGGAGTAGCATTTTGAAAAATTGTTAACAGACAGACGGACGACGACGACCGACTTATAACTATCGCATAAGCTCTTCTGGTCTCTGACCAGTAGAGCTAAAAATGAAGCAGCTTGGAAATAGAATAAAATTAAGTCCGCGTTTTCGTGAATGTTGCAGGATAACTTCCTAATCGGATCACCTCTAGTGTGCGACGGAAAAGGGCGAGGTGATCCGATTTGATAACCTCCAAGATGTCCAAGGTCCAGAAATGTTTGAAATGTACGTGTATAACAGCTGAGGGTTAGAAAGTGAAATAATTATTTTCATCTATATCAAACTAATTGCAGAATCGTTACCCTCTTTTTTGTAAAACATTAATCAATCATAATAAGGTGTTTGACAACTGTCATTTTGTGGAGAAATTTTATTTCATTTTAGAAAAACCAACCTGTGAATCCGAAAACTAACAATGTACAACGCGTCTTAACATTTTCATACCCTCATACGTAAGCAAACAAAACATTTAAAGAGAACTGTATTAAAATGCAAAATTAATGGAATATAATCAAATCAAAGTAAAACACTCATCAAACTTACTGTGGACATCCTCTGTTAAGGATGTGCTACATCGCTTTTCTATGTGTCCTCAACATAATGTCCAAAATAGTGATTGGACATGAGAAAAAGAAAATCTTTAAAAATCCCTGATAACAAAAAGAGCATTTTCTCAGTTTCTGTACATACGTAGTTTGTACTCAAAAGTAAGGAAGTAGGTATGATTAACACTTATGTTTCAAAACAATTGCAGATATTATGTAAATTACTGTCAATTCAATAGAGCACTTCCTCAAATACCGTGGATATTTCCAAATTTGAAGTCCCACCTACTTTTCCTAACGTACAAATGCACCAGTATTTAGATCTCAGTACATCTCAAAAACTTCTTGATCATGTTGATTATATATAAGTATGTACATTATCAATGATTGTGATGTTACACATTATTAATAGATTTATTTGCTTACGAGTTTCCTTGCATTGTTTGGTTGATGAAGAGATATTTGGTAAATTTCATGTAACCAGCTGGGTCTTAGGGCAAAAATAGAACTTTTACTTAACCTACTTCTTTCAACAAAGGCTAATGGTTGACACCTTGTTAAAATTAAAGATACATAAAATATATCATTCAAACAAGATGGCAAGGTAGCCATCTTATTTTGTTCTTAATCATTATCTATTCAAAGCTAGTTGCCATTTTGATAAAAAAAAAATTCACAAGTTCTCTGGAGAGTTTTAAATACATTGTAACTTCAGTAAAATTGGACAATAGGATAAAGTTACATCCCATATTCAAATAACAGAGGTTTCAAACTTTGGCACTTGATTTGCAAGCTTTTGATTGTTTAATGACATTTCAAATCAAAGTGTTTTTTAATCTCAGCTAAAATATAACAGAAAGTGTATGCTGGAAAAAAAATACAACACACACTTAACACAAATACTGAAGAAATAAAACACTAGACAATATGTCAAATTGTAAATTGCAAAAGAAAAATCCTTTAAATGTAAATCAAAATCTTGCATGAGAAACAAATAAAAATCAGATAACTAACTAGCAAAGTAAACTGACCAAAAATTATTATTGATAAAAACAATGGAAAAAAACATTTCTTATGGCACTGTCAAAACTTGAAATACAAATAAAAGCATAAAATAAGCAATGCTATGGTCTCAAAATCTCTGAACTAGAACAACGGTAAAATTCCTAAAATATGGCACAATTCAGAAGACAATTTCCTTGGGATGTTTATGGTTATGATCCTTTAAGTAACAACATCTAGTCCACTTGCATCTGAAACCAAATGTCTCATCTGACCTACAAATAATAAAGAATTGGAGTGTATGGAATTGTAAAAGTAATATTCAAAGTCACCTTTTAACCAGAAGTCTCTGTCAAGACTGTAGGTCTACTGGTTTGTAAACAAAGGAAGAGAAAAGCAGCAGTTGGACTTGAAACTTCGCAACAGCTAATACATTAAAATAGAACAGTGATCTTTGATCAAGATTGTCAGACAAACTGTAGGAAGAGTAGCCTTTTCAAAGAACTTTTATAGAAATTTTAGTCACCACAGCAACATCTTTCTTCAAAATCAATTGATTGTAATCAATACACAGAGGTATATATCACAGCACAGTCTACTTGTATGCCAAATTGTATTGAAATCATACCAAAGCTGTAGGAGGAGTAGCATTTTTCATGTATTTCAAAGAAATTTCTATTTCTAGTACCACGGCAACACTGTTCATCAAAATCAGAAACTGGTATTTAGAATTATGTACCTTTGAACATATTCTACTTGTTTGCTAAGGTATATTGAAATCAGACTAAAACTGTAGGAGGAATAGCGTTTTTGAAAAATTGTTTACTTTGAGACAGACAGATTATGAACACCTTCAGTATCGTATACGCTCTTTCTCCTGGTCTATGACGATCGATAGGGCTAAAAAACTGATTTAAAAAATCATTTTTGAATGGGTAGTAGAATAACAAGATAATAAATCAGACTGGACAACCAGAATGAGGAGTAACAGGAATATGATGAAATTTAACCACGCGGGGGATAAACACTTCATATATTTAATTTAAACATGTTACCTGATACAAGCCATTCTTTATACAATATCAGCTTTCTACAATTTTTTGAGTGGATTCTCAGAAACAAAAACAATGTTTTATGTGGTAAAGAGGCCTTTATCCATTTTGTGAGAGAAAGAACTAATTATGAAGGCCTTCAGTTCCTTCTTTCACCAAATGAACAGTTTAAACCCTTTTTCTTTTAATGCATTTCATGTTACATTTACTGGACCACTACTTATTAAAACTATAAACTGAAACATACAGAACCTAGAGCATTACATAGCCTAATTATCAGCTATAAGAAGCATCCATCTGAAAGTGACTGGATGTCATTACTCATTATATCTATACTTACTTCGCATTTCCTCCTCTGTCTGGGCTTCTGGGTTAAACTGGATTCCATAGTAATCTTTACCTTGGGACTGCTTGGACAACTTCTTTTCTGAAATAATATGATGTTGGCTTCTTAAAGATAAAAGATATAGGAAGGGTTCATCTTAAATATTACTCTCTTTTTAAGTTGTTTGTTTTCAAACTTATTCCTCGTAAAGACAGAATTTGGCAGAATCCTAAGAAAAACTTACGACAAAGGTTCAGTAGTAGGAATGCAAGCAGGAAAATGGCAGTGCTAAAAACTGCATATACAATAATGAAGGCCCAGTAATCAGAAGTAAATCCTGGATCCCTCAATTTCGCCCGCACCACTTCTGGTGAATGCGTAGATGGGGCAGGTGTAGTTGACATGACGATAACAACCGAACCATTAGATAACGGGTTATAGGTTACCCCTTGTATGGAATCAGTAGAGTTTGTGTCATTACGACGGAGGATAGCAGGATCAGGCATGTATTCCACTAAAAATATAACAAGGCACAAAATCATCATCATAGATTGAAACTGAACTTCATTTATCAGACAGAACTGGTATATAATATTTACATGTATAATTCAAAATAAACTAGGTCTTGCCATTATTAATTTACTATAGCATAATATTCAGTAAACTACTAAAGTAATAGAAACCAAGAAAACATGAGGCATTAGAGTAAGATTGACCTCAGATCCCCGAACAGGTACTCTACCTACAAAGCTATCTGCATGGACTCCCAAGAAGGAATCTTCCTGACACCTACCTCACATATATTTTGATTAAGATTACATTAGGCTTATTTTTATACAATTATTATGGGTATAACTTTTTTTAAAAAAAATAACACATCATGAAACCATAAATTTTTAGGACAGGTTGACCTTCAATATTGTTAAATTTGATGTAAAATAAAAACTACGCACTAAACTGGCACTGATCCCCTATGTACCCATCATCACAGTGACATTTAAAGCCATCCTTGTTCGTCAGACAGGTTCCATGTTCATGGCAGACTTCAGGTTCACATTCACCTACAAAAGCGCACAATATTTACAATGTTTAATAAATAAAATAACTAGATTTCCTCTTACTATAGACCCTTTTCCTTTGACATATTTTGCCTAGGAGTTATTCCCCTTAGCCGCCATATTGTAGGGCAACATTCCCAGATCCCTTCATTATCATTTAGAACCAAGTTCAATTTGTTATACTGGTTACTGAGGTAAAGATAACACTATTTTTCTTATGAATATACGTTTGTTATAGCCTCTATTAATTCATGATTATAAAATTGTAAATATTTGCACCATATATTTCTTGCATGCTTGTTTAAAATTGGTTGCTCAAAGAGGTAAATTAACTATTTTGCCCTACAAGATGGCAGCTAAGGGGAATAACTCCTAGGTAAAAAATGTCATTAAAGAAGGGTCTATACACATACAATTTTCAATTTATTGAAGTGTATCTTTTTTTCAGCCTTTTCCTTCAAGTTTGACTAAGTCTTCAAAAGAAAATATGAATATTACTCACACTTTGAAATTTTGAATAATATTGCCTACAGTTCATATGATGTTGTGAATTTTAGAATTTGTCTCCACTTTCTTCCGAGTATGGTCTTTATGCTAAAGTAAATATTTGTTTAGATGCTGGACGTCCCCCTCCACTTTTTATCAAATTGCTGTTTGGGTTTAAATTAGGTCAAGCACTGACAAAATCCAGTGTACAAAATTAAGTACCAGGAATTACGTGGCAAGAAGTCAACATAGTTTTTTTAGCTTGTCAGATTTCTTTGGGAGCCCCCCCCCCTGACCTCGACTTACCAGTGAGTGTTCTGTATGCTATTAGGAGGGCAACAAGGAAATTAATGGCACCTAGACACAGAAACCAGCACAGACAGCATCTCACGTTTCTTGCATCCATATTTTACTCTAAAGTGAAATAAAAACAATTAAGCCTAAGTCAACATATAAAAATTAAATAAAATAATTACATAACCCTACCAATTAATAATCTGCAAGTATTTCAAGAAAAATAATTGCATATTATATACCATCATCAGCATGTAGGTCTATAGAACATGTGTGGTGTTTATCAATGAAAGTTTCTAGGCTAGAGTCTAGCCTAGCCAAAACCGTTATGACTGACACCGCGGCAAAACAACGATATGCACACACCGGAGTTTCTTATTTCCTTGTGTAATACAAACATTAAGCTTTTTTACCAATATAATAATAATGAAGCTTACCAATACAGTGTTCCATGCACAGCCCTTTAGGGATAACACAGAAGAGTTGCAGTCAAAGAAAAGTAACTCGTGGCTATCAAAAAGTACTTGCAATGAACAGTTGAATGATCATATCCTTCACAAAGCGCGCACAATGTGTGAATAAAAAAGACATCCTATTAATAGAATAAACGACCTACATGTAACTAACTGTTCACGGGCTCAACGAGTGATGCACCGTAACTGCTTTTTTTTTTTACTGAATAAATGTTTTATTGCATTAAACACAGATACAAAAGGCGTATCATGAAAATGCTGAAATCGATATTTGTTATATTTGATCAATTGTACTTTAAAATAATTTTAAAATCCCAACAGAAAAAAAAACAATTTTGTTGTTAAATCCCTCAAGGACATTAGGTCTAAAATTGGTTAATGTAAAATTGTGTCACGTGTTGGCATTGTCTTGATTGACAGAACTGAAATAAAAAAAGAACAAAAGGTAGAACTTGGGAGGGGGGACTGTTTTAGAAAAGAACTTAGGATTACATGTAATATCAGAAACTTAAGTTGATTGCAAAAATTTGAAAACATAATGATTGTGTCTGAAAATGCAAAAACAAAATTTTCTTTTCAAAATATCAAAAAAAAAAAAAAAAAAACAACAAAAAAACAAAACAAAACCAATATACAATAAAAATTAACAAGCAGAACTTCTAGTATTATGTAGCCGTAAGTTCATTTGTAAAACGGGTCCTTGGTATATATACAATGTTAGGGGGGAAAATTGAAATCAAGTTGGAGGTCCGTAGCAAGGGTTTCAAAAGATGTCCGGCAAATTGTGGAATTAGAATTCTCTGCGCTCGACCTTCAGCAGTAAGAGAGTAGCATTAGACCACAGGTACTTGTCGACAGGACATTCCCCCCCCCCCCCTCCGGAGCTTAGTGGATATTCTTTTCATAAATTATATTTATTACACTTATTCATCATGTGTACAATAGGAAAAAATCGTAAAAACCCCAAAATAATCGCACCACAAAAAAACTCTAATATACATTATTCTCTCTCTCATATATATTAAATGTACATGTGTGTCTCTTCATTTAAATTATAAAACAAATTTGGAAAGATCAACAAATTATTCATAGTGATACGTCATCCTAATAAACACTATACTAGATGCTGCAGAGGATAAATTGCACCAACAAGTACAGTACTACAGCAATCTGATTTTCTGTAGGAAGCTGTATGAAATGCTTTCTGCATGGACGTGATCAATGTGGTTTCCAAGTCTTTCAATTGTATACAGTGTAGAAAAGTACATGTAAAGGGGAAAACATAATATATTGAAACATTACACACGAATAACAATTATCGTTTATTTCGTTCCCCTGCACCAACTCAGAACGCTTTAAACTTAACTTAACCATTATTATTACATTTACCCCCTTGGATCAGTAAAAGATATACTATTTATATTTTTAGAATAAACGTCATATAAATAGACAAGGGAATTCCCGACCTTATAGTGGTGATCATGGATCTCTTCGGACAACTAGTTGATTTACCTAATGAAAACAAAAGATTCCTTGAAAAAGGTAAATGTTAATAATTCTCTATAAATTAAAGATACCCATCATTTCATTGACACATAAACAGATAAAGAGAATTATATTGATTGTATCCTATTTTCGTACTCTACACCTATGAAGACAGATTAATTCAATTAATATGTGAGTTGTGACATATACAATATTATGCATAGAAAATTGTTTGATTAAAGGAAGTATGTTTTACAGATAAAAATGCCAGACAATTTTGGAGCTGTGAATGGACGTTCCAAACATTTAAAGATAACCATTTATGGAACGACAGGGTCGTTCAAAAGTTACAAAATTGGAATATGATAACCCTAAGTTCTGTGTGCCAATGGGTTGCTTCATATGATGGTATATTGAAGTCAATTACAGCAGAAAACATGTGCTTGAAATTCAGTATAAGGATATTGTCGAAACGAAACTATGAAAGGTTTCGTCATTTAATGGAAGAAAATCAAATAGAAAGAGATTTAGAATCAATCCTGTTAGATAAAGAAGTTCTACACTACAATCCTAGAAGCAGATATAATATAAAGATTCTACATCATCATTTCTCCACAAAGGAAGCTGACATTAGACACATAGGATTCGAAAGCGATGACTCTGGACTTTCTTCTTTTAACCCAGACCCTGAAAATCTAGCTCAGGTAGAGTAATACTTTCAACTTCCCGTAGCATATCTGTCCGAAAGTGAAAGTGGTTTCGAAAGTTGTTAGTGTTTGGTAAATATTAAAATAAACAATAACAAGAGGCCCATGGGCCACATCGCTCACCTGAGAAGCTTTGACCATTCCGTTCTTTACCAGATTTCCCCCTTGTAATACATACCAGTATTGTGACCCCACCCTACCCAACTGATCATACTTTAAACAATTTGAAATCTACACTAACATAGGATACTTTGATTCAACATTGTAAACTTTGATTCCCCATTGTGGCCCCGCCCAACCCCGGGGGGTCATGATTAGAACAATTTAGAATCTACACTACCCCAGGATGCTTCCACATAAGTTTCAGCTTTTCTGGCTCAGTGGTTCTTGAGTAGAAGATTTTCAAAGATTTTTCCCATATATTGCTATGTAAAACTTTAATTTCCCATTGTGGCCCCACCCAACCCCCGGGGGTCATGATTTTAACAATTTAAAATCTAAACTACCCCAGGATGCTTCCACATAAGTTTCAGCTTTTCTGGCCCAGTGGTTCTTGAGAAGATTTTCAAAGATTTTTCCCATATATTTCTATGTAAAACTTTGATTCCCCATTGTGGCCCCGCCCTATCCCCGGGGTCATGATTTGAACAATTTAAAATCTACACTAACCCAGGATGCTTAACATAAGTTTCAGCTTTTCTGGCCCAGCTGGTTAGACACATGAGAAAGAAGATTTTCAAAGATTTTCCTATATATTTCTATGTAAAACTTTGATTCCCCATATCTGTGACCCCGAAAGTGAAAGTGGGTCAGTTGATTTGGAACAATTTAAATTCTACACTAACCCAGGATGCTTCCACATAAGTTTCAGCGTTTTTCTGGCCCAGCGGTTCTTGAGAAGAAGATTTTCAAAGATTTTCCTATATAATTCTGTGTAAAACTTTGATTCCCCATTGTGGCCCCACCCTACCCCCGGGGGTCATGATTTGAACAATTTAGAATCTGCACTACCCCAGGATGCTTCCATGTAAGTTTCAGCTTTTCTGGCTCAGTGGTTCTTGAGTAGAAGATTTTCAAAGATTTTTCCCATATATTGCTATGTAAAACTTTAATTTCCCATTGTGGCCCCACCCAACCCCCGGGGGTCATGATTTTAACAATTTAAAATCTACACTACCCCAGGATGCTTCTACATTAGTTTCAACTTTTCTGTCCCGGTGGTTCTTGAGAAGAAGATTTTCAAAGATTTTTCCCATATATTTCTATGTAAAACTTTGATTTCACATTGTGGCCCCGCCCTATCCCCGGGGGTCATGATTTGAACAATTTAAATTCTACACTAACCCAGGATGCTTCCACATAAGTTTCAGCTTTTCTGGCCCAGCGGTTCTTGAGAAGATTTTCAAAGATTTTCCTATATATTTCTATGTAAAACTTTGATTCCCCATTGTGACCCCGCCCTACCCCCGGGGGTCATGATTTGAACAATTTAAATTCTACACTAACCCAGGATGCTTCCACATAAGTTTCAGCTTTTCTGGCCCAGCGGTTCTTGAGAAGAAGATTTTCAAAGATTTTTCCTATATAATTCTGTGTAAAACTTTGATTCCCCATTGTGGCCCCACCCTACCCCCGGGGGTCATGATTTGAACAATTTAGAATCTGCACTATCCCAGGATGCTTCCACATAAGTTTCAGCTTTTCTGGCCCAGCGGTTCTTGAGAAGAAGATTTTCAAAGATTTTTCCTATATATTTCTATGTAAAACTTTTGATTCCCCATTGTGGCCCCGCCCTACCCTCGGGGGTCATGATTTGAACAATTTAAAATCTACATTACCCCAGGATGCTTCCACATAAGTTTCAGCTTTTCTGGCCCATTGGTTTTTGAGAAGAAGATTTTTTAATGACCCCACCTTATTTTTGTCTTTTCTTGATAATCTCCCCTTGTGAAAGGACTTGGCCCTTCATTTTTACAATTTGAATTTCCCTTTACCCAAAGATGCTTTGTATTAAGTTTGGTCAAAATTGGCCCAGTGGTTCTTGAGAAGAAGTCGAAAATGTGAAAAGTTTACAGACGGACAGCTAGACGGACGAACGGACGACAGACAAAATGTGATCAGAAAAGCTCACTTGAGCCTTCGGCTCAGGTGAGCTAAAAACTGATTCCTTTGTTTGTTAATGTGGGAATTAATGTTGCAGCTGTTGAAGAAATTAAATATATACATAACCCCTGTAACCGGAAAACTATAGAAGCACATGTATAATTTTTTATCTACAGTAGCGATGACTGCAATTCCCATACTAACCAAGAAATAGAAAAAGTGGATGTAATTAATGTAAAGTAGCGTTAAGCAAGTTAGTCATACATTATATTGATGAATATTGTTTTATTGATACGAATACGTATTGAGTGTTTCATTGAATTGACGAAAGAACCAAAGCTAAAAAATTACCTATATTACCTATAAGGTTTGATTAGTGGAGAAAAATAAAATGTATTAAAACGGTCGTAGATTGAAAAACAAACAAAAGCACCGCAAAGCGGAGGCTCCGCTTTGAGCATCCCGTCACAAAAGCATATATATAAATCAAGATAGTATTCTACATCGATCCCAATGCAAATTTCATTTACATCACCTCCTTTGCACAAAAAGGCAAACCAATGACAAAGCCCATCTAACAACTAAACTGAATGACAAACGAGATGATTTTCACTTTTCAATGGTCAGCATTCCTTATTTATTAATTAATATTCCAATATCACCTGCTTATAATGTTTAACTCTCCCAACGATTCGCTTTTTGAAGAGGCATGCCCCGGCGAATACGACCAGTTTTTAAACCAAGGCCGACTACTCACACATAAGTTAATGTTAAAGGGAATTCAGCAACCTCGTTTAAAATCAGCATTTTGTAAATTCCATTGTCGCCATATCAATCTTTTTTGAAAAAATTATCCTTTCTCTGGGTCGTATTTTGGTTGACTTGTTTCATACCAGTTGTTAGACTTTTGTTTTCATATTAAATTGACAACGGAAAATTCTATCTTCATGATCAACATATAGGGCTCACGATGGGTGTGCACGGTCATAAGGGGATGCTTACTCCTCCCAAGCAAATAATCCAACCCCTCAAATTGTCGAGGTTCTGTGTTTATATCCAGTTCACCGAATTGTATTGTTTATACTTTTTTAAAATCGATTACCGTTCGTTATCTTCGCCTCTTTCAAATGGGATAAATCTTATGGATAATGGCAATGAGTCATTTTCTACCCTACCTTGTTAAACATGGGATATTTCCCATAGATTATGATGAACTGGATATCATAGTCATATGATATATGGGAATTATTCCATGTTAAGCACTGCAGGAAAGAAAATGTCTTATTGTCATTATACAGCTTGCCACTTAGAAGATCAAGTGTAAAGAAGATAATGTACAGTATTATAAATTTCAAAGTATTTGAAAACAACATATACATATCCCAGAAAAATATCAGGCTATATATTCTATTGTTGAACTTGTATCTTATTGGATGAAAAAGGTTCAGATTTTGAATTTTAGACAGTCATTCAAAATGTCAAAAAATGTTTTAATTTTCTGTAATCTTCCTAAAAGGAAGCTGTGCCAGACGAATGGTTAAACAACCACACACGCCGTATGGAGGAAATGCAGAGAGAACTGAAAGAGTCTCAACAGAAATGTCTTGAAACCTTAAATGAAAACTTTAAAGCAATATGTGAAAAAATTAATGTACAAATAAGAGAAGTCGATAAAAAGATGGAAAGACTGAATGAGGATATAAAGAGTAGTGATGCACAAACTGAAAAGATGTCTAGCGGCAGGTTTCAGCATGTGTTTCAGAAAGTGGAGCTTTTACGTCGGCAACAGGAGGAAACCTTTTCCAAAGTTACACAACTTGAAAGCACCACGACAGAATCTAACGCACTTGTTTATGAACTTCATCAGAAAGTCGATTCATTGAAAAGGACTGTGCAGCAATCTACACAACACCACAGCGGAGATGCAAAGGATAAATCTTCTGAGTGCACGCAGTTAAAGGAATTACTAGCAAGGATTATAGAGAGCATGGAAATGGACGGTTACTTGAAATGTAAACGTTATTCACAATGTTTATCAAGAGAACAACAAACTTTCGAATCTGAGGAAAATTTGTCTGATGTTATGCAACCCTATCAGGCTAATGGTAATGCATGTAGAGACTCTCAAGACCTGGAAAACATTGAGTCCAATCCTTCCACGTCGATAGAGGACGTTAACGATATAACAGATAAAAATTCAACGATGTCATTTAGGAAAGAAACCAACGAAACATTAAGGCACGGGATGGACGATTTATTTATTTGTGAATACAATGACACTATTTACCCATTTTACATTGAAGAACCTGCTCTCAAACAGGTACCGGATGACATCTCCTCAGAATCAAACAGACCCATGTCTCCCACACTCGAGAAGGCAATCAGCGAATACGGAGGTGAATTATTCGTTTCAGGTAAAAATATTCAAAATATTCAACAGCAACTAAGGAAAAAACTTCAAACGTTATGGCCAGAAATTAATGTGTCGTATAAATGGTTTTCAGAATGAAACATATGGAGATAACGAACAGTATTCAAGATCAAAAGTCGATAAAACAATACAAAATAGGGGCATAGAGTTTTTGCAAATAACATATATATTAACCCAATCTTCAAAACGACCACATGTATCTTAAGGACGAAATTAATGCCATTAATTACTCGTATTAAATGGATTGCAAATAATAGTCATATATATTTATTTTTATGGCTCTGAAATCTATGTGAAATCTCTTGAGAAACCGTCCGTTTGGACTTTATAAGGCGTGGCGTTTTGACGTTGAAGAGCCAAATTTCGCTTCCCTTCACTGTTGAAAAATACATATGAAAAATGCGGGAATGTCAACAGTATTAACCCAATCTTCAAAACGACCACATATATCTTAGGGACGAAATTAATGCCATTTTTTTGCACGTATTAAATAGTTTGCAAATAATAGTCATATATATTTATTTGCTAATATTGCAATGAATCTTGATGACTCTTAACTTAACAAGGCCCTTATTCCTAGGTTTGGTTTCAAGTGCAGAAATTCATCAATTGCAATGAAACATATGGAGATAACGAACAGTATTTCACTCAGTGATAAATTGTATTTGCTGACAAGGTCATTGCATCGACCATAGAACTTACGAAATGATAACTTTAAACGAGATTGCTGAAATTCTTGTTTCATCAACTTGTTTTTCAACAATTTACCTCATTTTAGAAATTATTCATACATAGAGCATGCTCTTGCGTATCGAATCAACTGAGATAGATATCCGTATGCAGGTGATGAAGGTATATAGCTGCATAAGTAAGGGAAGTTGATGATAGAAATGTTAAAGTCATCACGTTTATCATAGAGCTTAGTTGTTAGATTACCATTAATGTCTTTTTCAAGTAATATATCCAAGTATGAAAGAGAAGTGTCAGACTCTGTGGTATCTTTTATCTCAAGCTCACCAGGATATATCGTATCGACATAGGAATGGAAATTACCATTGTTAATTGACAATATGGTGTATCTAAATGTCGAGTTGAAAGCCACAGCAAGTGTTTTCTTCTTTTCAGGCATAAGAATTTGCACAAATTCTGCTTCATATGAAAACAAAAATAGGTCTGCTAATAACGGTAAAATTGGTACCCATTGGAATATTAATTTGGAATTGCCATTGGAATTCCAATAGATTGTTGGAAAACCTGGTCTCCAAAAACAACATAGATATGGTCAATCAGAAACTCAAGCATCTTTTTGATGTCAACTATACAGTACTTGTGCGTGCAATCAGAATGTGTTTTAACAAAATAATTTTTCAAATAATTAATGACCAAGTGAGTAAATTCACGAGTTCCATTTTTATTGAAAAAGCAGTTGTCAATGATATCAAATAACCTGGACTTTAATTTATCGTGGGTAATGGTTGTGTATAAAGTTGAAAAGTCGTAATTTTTAAGCTGTTAATTTTGGTAAAATCTTATGATTTTAAATTGTCCAAAAGTTCTTTGGAATTTTTGAGTATCCACATCTGATTCACACCACTTCTTGCATATTTTGTTGCACAGTACTCTTGAATTTTTTCCTTCACTACTGTCAATATCTTAGTAAAGAGTAAAGAAAGAGGCTTGGTTGGACATTTACTGGAAACTCGCAATATTTTTGTTTGTAAGGATACTTATGAAGTTTCGGAGTCCAATATATATATATGTTCTATTTTAAAAAAAACAAGCATCCTCTGGTCATGTGGTGGAAAGTTACTAAAATAATGACATTTGAGTTGGTATTGGACAGTAATCCATTTTCAAAAAAATTAAGAGTATTTTTAGAGAAATAATGTATATGAAAAGCCTTTTGAAATGAGCAAAGCTACAGGTTACGTACATGATGAATGACGTGGGATGAAGGAACCTGATCATGAATTATAGACTCAACAAAAGATTAAAAAAAAAAAAACGACCCATTGACCAGGGAATTTCACAATAAAGGGTCAATTTTTCAGTTGTAGTTTTGGGTCATAAAACAGTAAAGCCATGAATAGTTGTAAAGGGTAAGTTTTTCAGCTGTAGTTTTGGGTCATAAAACAGTAAGGTCACGAATAGTTGTATAACTATAAAAGCTTTTTTATATGGTTTATTATCAGTTTTGTTAAATGAGACCAAGATAATGATAGGGCTATGATAAGGTGTTCACTTTGATCTAGAAATAGAATGAAAATCCAAGTTTGATAAACGGTCCTATACTAATTATTTTAACTAGTTTAATGCAAATTAATTTTCTTTAATGAAGGAGAAAGGACAGGATTACTAGAAGTTATGACTACGGAATCAACAAGTTCTGAAGAGGCAAGGGAAACCGAATCTTACCAAAATATTATCAAGGAAACAAATGGGAGAGACCAGGAATATGTAACGAAGAAATATTACACGGATAGTGATCAAAATCCGAACATCTCTGATCAGGAAAACTCTAAACTTGTCACAAGAACAACGTTAACCGAGAACGTTCTTGAAGGTATTAATTGATAGATAACCAAATAAAATCATGAATCATTGAACAACCCAATTAGAATGCCCCTTCCCTGTAAATTAATGACAAAAGAAAAAGCTTAGAAATTCTTTTTTTAGTAACTCAACCCTAAATCGTATATACTCTGTAGAAGAAGAAACTTTCTAGGTTTAACTTGATGTACACCATTTTAAAAAATTGCTGACAAGGTCATTGTACCGACAATAGAACTTACGAGATGATGAATTCAAACGAGACTGCTGATATTCTTGTTTCATCAACTTGTTTGTCAATAATTTACCTCGTTTTAGAAATTGTTCATACGTAGAACACGCTCTTGCATATTAAAACATCAAAACCAACACTCATGTTATCCGTTTACTGTGAATTCTGACCTTTATATTCATTCCAGTTTTATCACTTTTCATGTTTCTTTACACTGTACAATCCGACGCCATTTCTATTCCGACACAAAGTTTGTCTTAACTTGCAGTTTAGACACATTACAGTAAAACTCGTTTTGTACGAACACGAATATAGCGAATTCACGGATATAGCGACATTTTTCTGGGTCCCGGCAATATTCTTAGCAAATCCTTGTAAAATTTTACGGTTATAACGAACTCTGATATAACGAATTTACGGATATAGCGAACTGATTTTGGGTCCCGTTGAAGTTAAATATAATAAAATTTACATCTTTTATAACGAACTTCCAAAGATCTCAAAATTTGATAAATTGAACCGACTTATTTTTGATCATGGAATTGTACATATAATTTAATTCACAATGAAACCTTAGTTATCGAAGGTATGTTTTGTAATATTTGCTTCCCTAACATATTTGGTAGTAATACTTGAAGGAAAACATGCATATTGCGAATTCGCTTTACATGGTTTTACGAATTCGTTATACGGTTATAACGAATTACGGATATAGCGAATTAAAGTCACAGATCCCTAGGACTTCGCTATAACCGAGTTTTACTGTACTTTTCCTAAAACTCGACCTTGTCCAAATGACACTGACTCAGGGCTTTTACGCATGCTATGAATGATGATAACTTCATTTCTCTATTAGTAAAGTAACAATTGGTATTGTTTTTGCATTGTTAAGTTATGAATAGACAAGTATTATACACTTCCAATCTCCTTGTCAAATAACACATCTTGAGGTCATTCTCTTCCAAAAGACACCTTTATAACAAGAATAATTTTTCAAATTATCTGCATCAAGATATATGATGAAAAATAATTTTTATAGATTATGAAAAACAAAAAGACACATAAAGGCAGAAATACTATAAAAGCACAATATGCCTCCTTTCCGTCTTTGACATAAGGGAAAGAATTATACAAGAAGTGTCTGTCTTTTGTTAAACGTCTCTCGAGAGAATTTTTCACTCATAACGAGACGCCATCACTTGCTGGTGGAGAGCTGCAAATTTTGTCCTATATTCGGCACTTAAAGTGGATATGGAGGTAACGAACACTTTTCAATATAGGTCGATAAAACAAAACAAACTAGGAGCAGAGCAAACACGGACCCCCGAAACATCAGAGGTGGGATCAGGTGCCATGGAGGAGTGAGCATCCCCTGCTGTCCGGTCACACCCTCCGACTGCTCCTTGTTATGATCGGGAAATAACGGAAAAAATCCGTCGTCAATTCAATGTAAAAATACTAAGTAATGGACTAACAATTAGTATGAAAAACGTCAGTCAGCATTTGACTTAATGATAAATTGTAATTGCTGACAAGGCCGTTGTTTCGACCATAGAACTTACGAAATGACTTTAAACGAGACTGCTGATATTCTTGTTTCATCAACTTGCTTGTCAATAATATACCTCGATTTAGATATCTACACTCCGTATGCAGGTGATGAAGGTATACTGGTTTTGCTGCATAAGTAGGGGAAGTTGACAATAGAAAAGTTAAAGTCGTCACGTTTTTCACATAGCTTGGTTGTAAGATTACCATTAACGTCCCTTTCAAGTAATATATCCAAGTATGAAACAGTTTTGTCAGACTCTTTGGTATCTTTTATCTTAAGCTCTCCAGGATATATCGTATCGACGTAGGAATGGAAATTACCATTGTTAATTGACAGTACGTCGTCGATATATCTAAATGTTGAGTTGAAGGCCACAGCAAGTGTTTTCTTCTTTTTTACGCATAAGATTTTGCATAAATTCTGCTTCATATGAATACAAAAATAGGTCTGCCAAGCCATTGAGCAGTGAGCGGTCTTATTCGTACCAAGACCTACTGCGACACAGGACCTTGGTTTAAACGGTTTCGTCCGAGGGACCGGTTTCCACGTCCTGCAGTTTGATTTGTAAGGATGAACTCCTTCGCGACTCTAAGGCAGACGTTTCTAACCACTGCACCACGCTGTCAAAGAGAAAGAATGACATTCGAAGAAGTAAATATGTTTTCTTCTAACTTTCAGATTGTGAAGGAGATGTACATATTTCAAAATTGAATCCTAGTTTAACAGAAAAAAACTGCATTTCTGATGATAAAACCCAAATACATAACGCCATTGATCGTAATAACCCTGATATGGAAGTCAGCCACAGTGAATGTGATACAGACACCGAGGAAACCTTAAGAGTTTCAGGTCTGACAAAATCTAAGCCAGTAATTCGAACGGTGAAAGAGGCTCTAAGAGGTAAGTTAATTCAACGGAATCAAGCATTTAAAGCGTTAATTTGTTTTCAAATTATAATTCACATATGATAAAGTTAATTTAATACTGAGTTCATTTTAAGATTAAATTCATATGTTTGAAGGTAAACTGAAAAGAAGCTTAGACAAGAGACTGTATTATAAACACCTGTCTTCTTATTCATATGTAAATACGTTTTTCGCATTAAAAAGGATCTATTGTAATTATTTTATGAAGTTATTGAAAAATACCTTTGTCTTGTAATTTCTGCACAGTTAATGAAGAAGAGAGTCGTCTACACGGACTGGACACAATGCTTTGTGTGGATGTGTCGGGGAGTATGACCTCAAAAGTTATAGAACAAGTCAAGTCAACTATATTTGATTTTCTGGACGGTAAGTGTTGATGTCCAATGAAATGTCATGTATCCTGGATAGAATGATAGTGAAAGATGTTTATTTTCATACCTTTATTTGGTTGTTAGGTGTATTGCTTGAATATAAGAATGCGGATCAATGCGTGATAAAAGCAAATTGTAGTATTAATGTCACTAGTACATGTATCTTCTTTTTCTCTGTGCAGATATGTATATTTCGAGAGGAAACACTAAATAATAATTTTTTTTCTTAAAATGTGTCAAAAGTGAAGTTGTTTATTGATTTTTATATTCAGGTGTTGAAGAAATAGCTATAGATGAAGGTTTAGAAGAAAATATAGGGCTCACAATTTTCGGAAGAGAAACAAAAATAGTAGTCCAACTTACAAATGACTACAGCAAACTTAGACAGGCAATTGGTAAGGGACATTAAAAATATAATTTATCATATATTGATGATTTTTAAAAATTATTTTATACATATTGATCTGAATACTTATTTAAAAAATCAAAAAGTGAATGTTCACAACACAAATGGTTGTTCATGATTTTTAGAAACACTATCGCTTGGAGGGACCTCGCCCATACACACTGCACTATCTCTTTGTCGATTAGAATTAGAACGTAATGGTAAGAAAGTTACTTTTCTTTTAAAAGAATACGTTTCATTAAAGTGTAGTTTTTATCACATTCATAATTTACTTTTACTGAATTGCATGAATAAAAAAAGACCTTTAATTTTATGACAATATTATTCTGCATTCTGAACGCACTTCATATAGTGTTAAACTTTTTTATCCCTTGAAAAATTGTTATTTTATATTTTAGGACATGCAACATGTATACATGAACACTGTGTAGCACCCCGTATCATTTTGTTTACTGATGGTCGTGTAACTCGAGATTCCTATATGGATATGTCGGAAAGTGAACAGGCACCTAAGGATCCAGAGGTATCATAAAACAAAATATAGAACTTCATTTTAGAAATTGTGAACACGATTGAACGATCAAAGCTACTTACAAATGAAAACTGCGACGTCACACCTATGTGGTGGTCAGATTGGAATTTGTTAAAAAAAAGATAACACAATTTTGGGAAACTTTGGCAGTTTAAGTCCATTTTAGAGTGAATTTTTGCACTAAAAGTATCAGATTCGAAGCAATTACTTCTATATAATGGATTATATATAGTATTTAACAGTTTTCAATAAGTTTAAAGATTTATTTTATGCAGAAATTTGAGGAGATAACAACATTTGTACGACAATTAGGAACCGAGGGATATCAACTTTTCACAGTTGGAACAGGACGACAAACTAATAAAGTATTTCCTAGTATTTTACCCCCGCTCATAATATAAGTTCAGATGATAATACATGAGCTTCATCTTGTTATACTGGCTAACACATGAGTGATTATATTGTTTGTGAGAATCTTAGAAATTTTTTGGTTGAATATTTAACTTTTAATTTGAAAGGAATTTCTTGAGAGTTTGGCGACTTTAGGAGGAGGGAAATATTTTGATTTGGACAATATTTCGTTTTTGACAAAATACTTCAAATATCAGGTAAATGACTTTTAACTGTATATGAACATAGAAATTTTAAAAGATTGGTCTGCCTTAGTATGTTCATAAACACTCGCTTCTAAGGAAAACACATTTTTAATTTTTTATCCAGTATTTATATAATTAATGGAAAAGTAGCTCATAATACAATTAACCTTACTAATATTTTCTGTTTATCATTTGAAAAGATGAAAAATACCATTGTTTCAACAACAATTAAACTGTATGCAAACGAGATGACTTCAGCTTTTTCATTGTCAACTTTCCTTATGATGTAGCAATATTTTTAAACTATCACTTCCATATGCCTGTACGTTCCAGACTTATTCGCTACTCAAGAGCATTCTATGAGTACGATCAATGTTAAGGCCAAGACAAGCCTCTCACACTCAAGTTAATGTTAAAGGATATCAACAACATTGTAAAATAGCCATCAGTTGGTAAATTCAAAGGTCGCAAATGAAACCAGACACTGGTCCTTTTTGGCTGACTTGCTTCAAACCAATTACTAGAATTGTTTACCACTTATTTTGACTACGGAATGTTCTTTCTACGTGATCAATTTAATACATATGGCTCACGGCAGGTGTAACAGATCAACAGAGATGCTTACTCCACCTAGGCATCTAAGCCCATCTCTGGAATTTCGGGGTTTATGCTATGATCACATATATTGTTTGTAGTTTTTTTTATGAGATCCACCAGTGTTATCTTCACCTTTATCATTCATCAAAAGGGAATCAAGAATGCCAATTTGTGTTTTTAATTTCAGTTTATTGTTGGAGAATTAATACATAGATGCAGGGTAACTTCGAAAGGCTATTGGAACATGGATTATAAAACACAACTTCAACAAATAATAGAAACCCAGAACTATAGAATTGATCAGCAAGACATTGTAATTAAATTTTTTTTTACATAATTCTTTTTTATTCTACCCTTTCTCGCATATATTATACCCATGTGTAAATGTACAATGTAGGCGATTTAAAAACAATAATATAGACCTCTCAGTAGGAAAATAACCTTAAGCAAGGGAAAATACTTTACAATAGGTTATATTATAAAGAATGAAGAATGTATAAAGTATTGAATATGCTGAAGTTCATTTTGAATTGAGTGTTTTGGGTTTTGATTGTGTATTTGTACATAATTCAGTATGAGTAGTGCAGAGAAAGATTAAAAAATGAAAACATTGCACACAGCCAAATTTGACAATGATATTTGGGGTAAAAATATTTCAACAATCTGTTTGAATTTTCATGAGTGCTCATTAGAAGACCAAACTTTTGAAAAACATGAAGTAGAATTTATTAATATTAGTTTGTCAATAAATTTATATATTATGGTATAACTTACTTTGATAAAGTAATGAACGGTTTGTAACTTTTTCGTTACACGTACAATCAAAAATGTTTATTATTATAAAAATGTAGAAGTCCTGACAAATTTAAAGGAAAACTAACGAATATACAGTTTTTGATTTTTTTTTTATTATTGTTGTACTTCAATATGACAATACAATTTTTAAAAATTCATTTTCTGTACAAAACATTCAGAACCAAATAGAGGAGCTTTTAATATTGTCAGAGGAGTTGAGTGATGTTGAGTATCCCGGTCTACCGATGCTGGGATCTCGTGTAAGAACTAAGGCAGGGGAGGTCGGGACGGTGGTCAAACACAGGAAACTGAGTATGTAAAGAAAACAACGTTATCATATGTTGTACATGTATTTTAATAAAAGATAATGTACACAGTGTATTAAAAAATGCTGAATCAACATATACAAGAACATTTCTAAAATTTTTCAAATGGCAAGTTACAAAGATAAAATTTATAACAAATACACTTCTTAGAGGTAAGTAAAGTAAGGAATTTTCTGTTTTGTAAGCTAAAAAATTATAATTTTTAGAAATTATCATGTATGTTTGCTTTTTGCCTAAAGATAAGATTTTATTGATTTTCATTAAAATTACAGACTGGATCAAAATTAAACTCGACAGAGGTGATGTTATTTATCAGCACTTTATACAAAACGCACAAAACAACGAATTAGCAAGAGTTGATAGTCCCCGAAAAGGAAAAGATGAATTCGACTTTTGTGTTGGTGCAATGGTAGTTTGTAAAGGTATGATGTAATCGTCAGATGATTATATTGGATTAAATAATAAAGCATGCTTTTTATTTTTGACAAAAAAAAAAAAAATTAAATAATAAAATAAAATAAAAAATTCAAAATCATTGTTTTTATATATTAACTCAAGGTGAACCATCCAAAAGAAGAAAAGGATATATATACGACAAGCTGAATGTAGGATTTGTGAAGGTGATTATTAACGTATAAAAATACCAGTTTCTTGTATGATTTGTACTTGCTATTCTCAAATACATGAATTAACATGTTTTTTGTGAAGAAAATGAAATGAGAATCAATTAGATTAATTAATAAAACTAAATACAAGTACACATTTAAATTTTTCACACGCCCGTCTTAAGACCGTTAAGTTATGGCGTTCTTGTCCCTTTGTCTGTCCGTCTATAGCTTTTTACTGTCCGCTCATAACAATTTGTAATGCTATGAGGCATAAAATGATAAAACTTTGTTATCTTAGACATCTTTAATACATTAAAATCTGTAAAAACCTGCAGATGATTGTTGTTTTTTTTTTGAAAAGTTGATAAATACATTTATTTTACAAATACAAAAATTTATTTTGATTAATACCTATTTCTTAGGAATGCACATTAAACATTACGAATTGAAAAATTCAAATCCTTGTTACAATTTTGACATGATTTTCTTTCTTGCACCCTGAACTATTTATAATCATATAATAATTGAACAATAATTGAGGTGTCTATCGTGCGTTGTAGCAGTGCACTCTATTTTCCAATATTCTTTTTTCCATAAGGTGAAGTGGCAAGAAGGATTGAGAGGAATTTTGAAAATACGAGACCTTCATCTTCAGTGAGTAAATCTTAAAAACATTCGTTTTCTTTCACCTAAATCTTAGCCCACTTCTAAGACTTAAAATTCTTTTCTTAACATTAAGGGTTTCAATGACTGCAAAACAGTAAAACTAGCCTTGAATTGAAAGTATATGTGAATGCAATCGCCTTGAAAAATGAATTTCCATTTTCTCAATACATGTCGATAGTTTGTTTTTTTTAAAGGAATAAATATATGCTCTAAATGCTCTTTCTAATATATTCCCGTTTTATTTTAATTTTAGCAATGTATCTCAGAGTGAAAGATGCGATCTTTGACTGTTACAGAGAGTGGTCCTTACATTAAACATTGTATTTTTGTAATCTTTTACTGTATCATATGCATTTATTTTAAATAAAACAAGAATGGAAGGATATTTTTATTTATTTTTGATTAATCAAAGTTCAAAAATTGCATTGTTTACATTGTTATCAATTCTAATGTTGAACTTCTTCAATTCAATTCTAAATTTGAACTATCCTTGAGTTTTCTCATGAATAAAAATGGTTAATAGTACAAATAAATTAATTTTTCATAAATGGCATATGACCCCGCCTCTGATGTTTTGGAGATCTGTGTTTGCTCTGCTCCTATTTTCTATTGTTTTATGACTTGATTATTAGTAACAATAAATAAATTTTGTGTATTTCTTTCATACTTTCATAAAAGCACCCTTCTTTTTTTATACTAGAGAAATGTTATATCATTTTGTTTTGAAATACAATAAAAGGTTAATTTTGAAGAAATGGATTTAAGGTAGAATTTGTCCCTGAATATATATGGGATCTCTTGGTTTAAAATTAATACTCAGAGCGGAAGGCAATATTTTAAAGAAAATATAAAATCAAGTTAATATTTAAAGCATAAATAATATGTCCATTGATAATCGTTCAAAGGAAACTCGATTTTTTTAACGAAATTAACTTAATAGTGTTGTGCAAAGTTGCGTATGTTTTAGATTTAACTATATTTCCCATCAAAATTCCATTACATGTTCCTTACTTAAGAACATTCTTTTTTCATTAAAAGTACGGATGTCATTATGTATTTATTTTTAAAATTCTCGCTGCAATTTACCTTTTGTAAGACGTGAATTACCTGAAAATAAATAAGACGGCCTGGATTTTTTTTACGGAAATTCCTGGGAAATAGTGTTCTAATTATCTTCATTCTACATGTATATGAAAAAAAAAATGAACAAAAATAACCTGGTATTTATTTGTATTTTATATCTGATAGATTCCGGTATCGTCTTTTCCGTTTGACGACAGACAATTACCGAGCGCATTGATGCTTAGAAATTCTACAATTATTCTCTTTGTATATTTTTTCTTTATTATTAATATTTAATTTCAAAATGTCGATGTGGTAGGTAAAGAAATAACAAAAAGCTTTATAAATGACATGCTTAATTCAGAGATAAAAAATGCATTATCAAGAAGATGTCTGTTGTTTTTGATATATTTTTTACTTTTGATTTATTCGATAAACATATTACTTCATATGTAAAAAATATAATCATAAATTCTACTTGGATATAGGAACGATGGATAAAATTTGAAGGAAATCACTGAGCACTGAAAATAAGAAAAAAAAAAAGATGAGATGGAAGGTGAATTCGCATATTACTGGTTGAATGGGAAATGAGTACTCATCTCAGTGATACAGGGTGTCCCATAATATATACCATTTCACAGATTTGGTACTATTCGTATTCATGCTAGTGTATTGCCTTTAGCTTATATGGCATATCTCAATAAAATCTTGTTTGTAACTTAGCTAATTAACACTATTGCATTTAAAAGAAAATTTGCTTCACTTTTTCAAAGGAAAAAAAACTTTAAACCTGATTTCGAGAGCCCTTTGGAAAACCTTACAAATACAAACGAGAAAATATCGTACTAAGCCTCTCTCTCTCTCTCTCTCTCTCTCTCTCTCTCTCTCTCTCTCTCTCTCTCTCTCTCTCTCTGCTAATTAGTATAATACGATAACAATCAGCACCGAAGGTGGAAATTCAAAATTCCAGGGTACAACTCACTTAATCATTAAGAAATAAAACAAAAATTATCAATATGATTTTATCAAAGTCAAAATGTAGTATACTTTATTTAACAATAGGTTGAATTAAAAAGAATGACGACTAAACAACATATGCCACCATTCCATATGATAAATTGGAATAAAAACTATTTGATATGATTAATAAATGTTTTTTCACTAACAATGTTTTTTTTAAAAATATACACGTACAGGCCATACTAGTATACTAATTTTTAAGAAAATAATGTTAGACAAAAAAAAATCCATTTCTTTGCACACGTAAATGCATTCTGAAGCAGACATTAAGAAGATGTCATTTTTTATTGATAAATTCTACAAGTTTTTGTGACTAGATTTTTCACGAATCTATTGCAATTCCCTCAAGTGCTTTTTACAACCCTTCGAGTTCGATCAGTGTTCGTCAACTTCACTATTTTCACTTCATAGGCTATATTCTTATGAAGCAGTATTTGTACTTTCATTTTGATAATATATATAAATTATAACAATTTTTTAAAAATATATATAAACAATATAAATATCAACGATATACGTTTTGATATATATTTCACTGGGCTTGAAGTTATCTGACATTTCTCATTTGAAAAATTAATTATATATAAAACAGATTTTGCAAACTAACTACTTTAGGATTAACAGGAAATTCCAACTTTTCTATCGCCAGTTTTCTTATATACATAACCGTGTCAATTATTTTCACAAATAAGTAATGTGTGTTTACTTAAAATCCAGAAAAAAGTTGGAAAAACTTAGACAATGAATTCAGTATAAAAGTCTGACCCATGCATAAACTGTAGTTGGTAACTTTATTATACTAGAAATGACATCCTATCCGTGAGATGCAACATATTAAAATAGATGTTTAATTAACTACCTCTATCAGGAAAACTATCAAAATGAGAGGTTTTTTTTGCTGAGAAAATTATGTACCAATGTTTAGAGAAAAAAGATTGATTACTTATTTAAAACAATGCTGCCGATCATTGCAATTTTTATTCATAAACTTATTTATCATAAACATAACATGAATTAATCATAACCTAAATTCGCAATTAAAAAAAAAGAATAAATGACAATTTATCAAGTTGATATACTCGTCAGTTTCAAACAAGGCTGAAATAAAGAAGGCTTTCACCATTAATAAAATGTGTCAAATGTTACGGTCTATTTATCATTTCAATCTAGAACCTGACTTCAGGAAATGATTAAATGTACATTTTATTGCATAATAATCAAAGAAACCACCTCCGGTATTTCCTTGGGTCCTTTTAATATGCTGTGTTGACAGACTTCTAGTATTTGTAGTCTTTTGAATTCGATCACTGTTCATTGTCGTCATCTTTTTCATGTTAATGAAGACAATAAATATATATACATTTTTAAGTTGTCTTAAATTCGGTATTTCGGTAATAATGAACATTTTTAAAAAGTTGTAAAACTAAACATTTTATTTAATAACGTTCCCTTCACTCTTTTAAACGATTTTTAATCGATGTCATATAATATTTTATAAATTGAAACAAAGACAATGACGTCTTAGTTTCATCTACAGAGAGATGCCTAAATCGGAGGTCAGATACATGGTAACTGCCTAGAAATATAAGCGATTTTTGGGCTCGGATCGAAACGTGATGGAGGGCTTGGAAAACCTCGCACTCTGTCATGTTTTCTTACCCTCGCTGAAATATAGCTTATATTTCAAGACTGTAAACATGTATTTTATATTTATATAGAAGTCGAAATATTTAAGTCTATATGCTGCTAAATACTTGATTATGTGATCAAGTTTGAGCTAATCAGAGAGCTTGGAATGAAAGGGAAAATTTTCATTGTTTGCATTAGATTTAAACTAGCTTTTTAAATCGGTCTAGTAATCATTCATGTCTGGGTCTTGCATGAAGTCTTGCATGAAGTCAAAATAAGTGATATTATTAATCAATGAATATATTATGTAACATGTAAAGATAACGAACAGTGATTGATCTTACAAAAACTGCAGGCAATATCAATCTGTTAAAAGGACACTAACCCAAGAAAAATCCTAGATGTGGGATAAGGTGCCTCTGAGTAAGCAGTAGATTTCTCTCTTACAGTGCTTTATGAAATTTGCTAGTCAAAATATGAACAAATGTTTATGTATATATTTTAACAAGATCAATTTAAGGACTATCAATATTATGAAATGTTAAGTGCTGACTGGCATTCTACAAACCATTTGTTAGCCCATTGTTTTCTTTCAGCCTGAATTGTCTACGGATTTTCCTGCTTTTTCTCGATCATAACAAGGTGCACACGTCGGGTATGACCGCTGGGCAGAGGATGCTATCTACTCCATGGCACCTGATCCCATCTCTGAGATTTTAGAGATTTATGTTTGCTCTCAATTTGCATTGCTTAAGTATGAACTCTCTTCATTTTCCCTATATTTAATGTTATACTCCAGTACGAAGAGATTTTTGGCTTCATTATAATGTACGCGGTTTTTTTTGTAACCCCCCCCCCCCGCGCTTGGAAAGCGGGAAGGTATATAGTGATCAGGATGTCCGTCCGTATGTCTGTCCGTCCGTCTGTTATACTTTTGGGTACCCATCTCTGATCCGCAACTCCTCTTTTACCACAGAATAAAATTTAATGAGACTTTCGCAGAATCTTTCTTATATAGTGCCATTGTACACCTCTTATTTTACTTTTTGATCAGGCACATATTTGGGGTTTGCCAGAGCAAAACATATACTCGGCCATTTTTCTATAATATTGAAGGGTACACTTCTCTTACCTAAATGATACTAGTACTTTCACAGATTTTTATAACATAATGCCATTGTGCTCCTCCTATTTTGCCTTTTGGTCTGACACTTATTTCGAGTCTCCCAATGCAAAACATGGACTCTGCCATTATAACCATATGGGAGGCGGGGGTATCATTTAGTGAGCTTTTTGCTGACATAACTCTATTTAATAATATAATAATAATGTACTATAATATATAATAATAATATAAATATATATAAATATACAATATCGCTATAATATATAATCATAATATACAAAGAAGTGAACATGGATTGAACAGCAGGCCAAGGGCCCATATTATTTCTCTCACTACTTTAGTTATATACGGTAGTTTATGCTGCAGTGAATCAAAGTTTATGTATTAAGATAGATGTATCATGAAATACTGTGACTTTGATGCAAATGATTTACTGATATTATGTTGATTACAATAATATTTTCTTATAATTCAATGTTAAAAATATGTGAAATGATTAACGTTGAAAAGTACATTCTATTCATATAATGCACCAAGGGAAATAT